CGAAAATCTTCCATGCGTTGTAATTCTTTTCGATGCCCAGGTGTAGTCCCCATTGTGCTCGTTGGGAGAATCGGCCGGCTCGTGCAGCTGGGGGTCGGTACTGTACCATGCAGCCGAAAACTCGTAACATTTTTGTGCTGCCCAATTTTCCTGTCCACAGCAGGTGCGGTGATGCGTTGTTCGGGAGTGACGACGAGGATAGCAAGTTGTGCAGCATGACAGCGTGGTCCATCGCCTCAGGCCACTGGTGGGTGGGTAGCCGCATGCCACGTAGCAGTTTGCGCATGGTGTTCTGCAGGGTCCTGTTCATCCTTTCTGCTACGCCTTGCTGTTGGTGAGCGTAGGGAAGGGAGATGAGTCTCTTGATTCCTCTTTCCGCCAAGTACTGCTTGAACCTTTGTGAGGTGTATTCTCCTCCCCCGTCTGACTGAAAGCTTTCCAGCTTAACTCCCGATTCTCGTTCTGCGACTGGAAGCCAGGCGACAAAGGCTTCAAAGGCCATGTCGCGGCTTGGAAAGTTGATGTCGAGTGGCGGCGTCGATGAAGGTGATGGTGTAATTGTAGGCTCCTTGTCCTGGTGCGCGATTGTACAGGATATCACTGTACACCTTTTCGAGAGGTGCGTAAGTGGGTGCGCTTGGGTTGTGGTGAGGTACGAACGGCTGATGCGGTAAGTCGGCTTCGGGGCAGGTGAAGCATGTTCCTCTGACTCGTTGAAGTTCTCTCCTGTCGTGCAGTAGTAGTGAGTCTTTGTCGAGCACTCCTGCTCTTATCGTGTTGTTTAATGTTGTGTTGCTTGGGTGTCCCATCCGTGCGTGCCAGATGTCTTCGCTGGCGCGATGCCCGGGTGAGCGTCGGTACATGTCAGAATTTGAGTAGAAGCCGGCAGTGACATTGGCGCTTCGGTGGACTTCTCGTGGTGCCGGTTTTAACTGTTGTGCGGGTGTCGGTGGCGAATCGTTGATGAGGATTGGTGCCGTTGAAGGGCCAGCGATTGGTGTTGATGTTGCCGCTCCTGCTGTCGTTGTCTCTACTGCTGTTGATGTCGTTTCTTCTGCTGCCGATGTTGTCTCTGCTGCTGCCGGTGTTGTCTCTGCTGCTGTCGAATGTTGTATTGTTGCTAACGCCCTTGTTCTTTCTGCTTCAGGCATGGTGTGTGAATACCAGAAGCCTTCAAGCGGGACTGAAGTCTGGATCAAGATCTGGAGGGTGGGTCCAGGAGGTGAAGGTGACGATGCCGTCGCTGTCTGCTGTGCCGAGATCTGGAACAAAATCAAGAACGAAGACGTTGTTCTTGAGGATTGCCTTTCCGATGTAGAGGCCGCCTTTCCCGTGGTACAGCTTGATCTTCTGGGTGGTGCTGTCTGCTTCAAGGTGAATACCCTTCGCCATCAACTGACTGACGCTCAGTAAGTTGTAGCCGAGGCCTTCTGCGATTAAAACCTTAGACATCTGTAGAATGACATTTGTCTCTCGTGACTGAAGTTGTACCACGCCTTGTCGTCGTGTGCGCAGATTTTGATTGTTGGCGACGGTGATGACTACTTCTCGTTGGAGTTGATACTCTCGCTGCACGAAGCGTCCTGAAGAGCACATGTGCTGTCCGCAGCAACTGTCCAAGAACCACGTGTCCTTCCCGGATGGCTCGCTTTGGGCGATGGCTGCGTATGTCGGGTTTGACTGAAGCGATTCGTGGCGGGGCATACCGTTGTCGTGCTGTTCGTCCGGTGAGTAATGTGTCAACAGAACTAGGCAAGAATGATTGAAAGGAGAGGGGTTTCACTAGCAGCAGTTGGGGTACATATAGCAAACCCTAACTGGGTTGTACTCGCTATAGAGCACCCCACTACAGGCTAGACAATAATAACATTCTGACACACCCCCATAGCCAAAGTGGGGTGTAATCAGTACAATGAGCAGGCATAGCAATAGTTCACAATTATAAGCAAAGCTAGAGGTGATCATAGAGGGCAAGTGAGGAGGAGGAGAAACTGTGAGGGCGAGAAGATGAAAGGCGCCGACTGAAGCTGCAGACACACGGGCAACAGGAGCGGCGCGCACAGTGGCTACCGAGCGCACGAGGGCACCGGACTACGGGAGTATCTGGCTCCGCGGCTACGACGAGCACACACAGGAGCAACGGACCCACAGGCGACTGGCGAAGCAGGCTCGCTGGGCTACCGAAACGCGCGAGGGCATCCGGACTACTGGCGCTGCTGGCGTCACGACGGCTACCTCCACGCAACCTCCCCCGACCGTCCCACGCCCCTCTCACACACCCCCTGCTGACACCCTAGCTCCACTTCCACGGCACCCCCCTTAAACCCTAAACCCTCGGCTCCCACACACCCACCCCCCTCAGCGGCAGCTGCAGCAGTGGGAGACGGAGGAGGAGGAGCCGCAGGTTACCCACACCGGTCACCCCCATGCCCGCCACCCCCAAACCCTAACGCAGGCAGGAGCGCGGGAAACAGCAGGGGCGGGGCACGGAGGGAAAGGGAGGCAGCGGGGTGGCTCTTGGGCGCCACGAAGAAGCAGGGCGCGGGCCCCCCGAGGGCGCCACGGCGGGTGACGGGAGGGGGGCCGCGCACGGGCCCCCGAGGGCGGCTCGACGGGCGACGGGAGGGGCCGCGCGCGGGCCCCCTAGGCGCCGCGACGAGGCGACGGGAGGGGGCGGCGCGCGGGCCCCCAAGGTGCCGCGACGAGGCGACGGGAGGGGGGGGACGCGCGGGCCCCCAGGGCGCCGCGACGAGGCGACGGGAGGAGGACGACGGGGGGCAGCGCGCAGGTCCCCGGGGGCGCCACGACGGGCAGGAAACCGCCGCGCGCCTCGGGGCGCACGGCGGGCAGAAAACCGCCGTACGCCCTGAGCGCACGGCAGGAAGAAGACGGCGCGCGCCCGAGGCGTGCGAGAAGCAGAATAGCAGCGGAAGCAGTTAGGTGGCGGGCCCACCCACAGGATCGACCCAAGGGGGTCGACCTGCTCTGATAGCATGTCAACAAGACTAGGCAAGAATGATTGAAAGGAGAGGGGTTTCACTAGCAGCAGTTGGGGTACATATAGCAAACCCTAACTGGGTTGTACTCGCTATAAAGCACCCCACTACAGGCTAGACAATAATAACATTCTGACATAATGTGGCGGTGATTCAGTGACGCAGGAGTCGGTCAGTCTTGCCATGCAACTGACGATGTTTCTTGCTCCTTGTGCAGGTTGTCCCGTCGATGTCGTTGAAGCTTGAACCTGGGTCGTGGGATTCGCTTGTGTTGAGGCAACTTGGCTGCTTGAAGGTCGAAGCTGTCGCTGTGGTGGTGTTGACTGTTGTCGATTTGGGCAGTGCATGCGCGGGTGCTCTGACGTCTTACAGATGTGGCAGAACGGAGGTACGGGCTTCGGTTGTTGTTGGTTGTTATTGTTGTACCGTCGCTGAGTGTGGAACGCAAACTCCGGTACTGATGTTTTTCTCTTGTGTCGTTCTTCTTGCAGGTCCATGTCTTGCTGCTCGGCGTGGATTTCGGCGCAGAGCGCTGCTTCAGAGATTCTTCTGTGAGCTCGGAGAATGGCCTTTGTGGCGCGCCATTGAGGACCGAGGCCGCCGATGATGACTGTCACGAAGGCGTCTTCAGATATTGACCCTCCGCATCGAAGAAGCTTGTCGCGCAGCTCGCGACATCGGCTGATATACGCCATTCCCTTCTCGCCTGGTTTCATTTCGACCGTTGTCAATTGCGCCATTAACCGACTTTGGTTGACGCTGTCTGTTGCTTGATACAGGTTCTTCAAGTGGTTGTATGCGAGCTCCGCGGAGTTGCCGTAACCCCGGTAAGACCGTATATTCTGCTGCTGAGTCGGTGTGACGTTTCTCAGTAGAATCGTGTACGCCATCATTGACTGATAAGTGTACTGCTGCTTCTCGTACTGTGTGCCGTTTGTTGGGTATGGCAGGGACCCGTCGAAGAAGCCGAGTATTTGCGCGCCTTCCATCATCAACTCGAATTCGAACGACCAGGTGAAGAAGTCCTTTCCGTCGAAAGGTCTTGTCGTCTGCAGTTTCAGAACGTGTGCGAACTGCGACTGAACTTGTAACGCGTCCAGTGGTTTCTCTTGTCCAGGTGAGGGTTGCGGGTGCGGCATGAAGCTGATGGACCCGCGCTCGTACGGAGCAAAGGTAGGCTGCTGCTGTTGATTTCCGCGCGCGTATGATGAGCCATCGAGACTCATGGGAGTCACATCGTTGTTGTTGTTGCTGTTGTTCGATTGCGCAGGCGCTGACTGCTGGTGTTGCTCGTAAAACGACATGAAGGAGAAGAACTTCTCCATCATGCTCTGGTCGAAGCTGGCAGGTTGACTTGCTGAGGGTGCTGCTGGTTTTGTTCCGTGCCTTCTTCTGTCTGTAGGTCAGAGGCAGGAGGTGGGGTAGGGGTAGTTCCGTGGGAGCCGTTAGAAGAGCTCCTTTCTTTCTGGGTTGCCATGTCTTCTGGTGTTGTAAATGACTTGATAGTAGTTGAATTCCCCCTGTTAGCTCTCATACCATGTTGGGCTGAGAAAAGGCTTTAGAGGATCTTTGCAGGGGTGAACTCTGGGTAGGAACGATGTAATAGCGGAAGCGTTTCAAGTGATGATTGTGAACCACCTTGCGCTAGTGTGTGAGGGCAAAGTAAGTTAATTAAAGCAAAGGGATACAAGCACTTATATAAGGATACAAGGAATATGAAGAGATACAGTTATAACTACTTTATTGTTGCTGTTGCGGTTCGATACAGTGACGACTCGGGCAACTGCTCAATAGCGAGTCAGTTGTGTGTCCTTGCTGTCGCGCTGTACTTGTCAGGTCAAAGGTCGCTGACCTTTGACTTTCGCGTAACCTCCAACAGTTACTTTCAACCTCCGAGGGTTGACTCGCCGGTGCTTCGATATGCTTCGTTTCGCTTGTGCCATAGTGTTTCGACACGACAGAGGCGCTTAAGATTCATTGTTTCCAACAGCTTTCATGTCGGCGATGGTAAATCGCGTGTCGATGTGCGCGGCGTATGGGAAGGTCGCGGCGAGCGCGGCGTTTGGGAAGGTCGAAGCGAGCGCGGAGGGGAAGGCGGAAGAGAGGACGGAGATGGTAGGCGCGGACGGGGAAGCGGATGAGAAGACGGAGTTGGAGGCCCAGGCGTTAGCGGCATCCGCATGCGCCCTATGGTGCTTCGTGGAGACGGGGGCGTCGGTGCTCGGTGCTGTGGGTGAAGGGAAGGCGGCGGCGATGGTTGTAGGTGCGGGGGAGAAGAGGGCCGAGAACTTCAAGAAGGTGATGCACGCGGTGATCGACCTAGCACGCAATAGGGAGGCACCCGCAGGGGAGGTTGCACACAACGTCGCACCGGCGCTGCAGCGTCAGGCTGTGGACAATGCGTTGAGCTCGTAACTAGCCTCCTCGTCCGTCTGTGGGGGTGGCGGGGGTTTCTCTTCCCCTCTGTCGGCTCCGGCTCCCGTGTTGGCTGAATTCGCGGAGCCACCCTCGCTGGGAGCTTGCGCGGTAGCCGGCGGCGGGGCCTCCGGCACTCTCCGTGCTTCTGATACACGGAGTGCCTCGGTGAGACGGGTGAGCGACGCGATGGTGTCGTCGCGCTTCTCGAGCTCCTCCTCTAGGAGATCAATCTTCTCGTTCGCGGCGCGCTCCATCTCCTTCTTCAGCGTCGCCTTGAGGGACATGTTGTAGTACTCGGTGTCCAAGCGGACAGAGATTTCCTTCAGCGGTAGGACAAAGACGTTATCTGCGATGTGGTTTAAAAAACACTCCATACAGCTCGTCGCCGTCATTATTGTCGACTTACCTCTGCCTGAATTTGGGTCGGGTCCCGACGCTTGTTGATCGTCTCGGTGTCGACCTTCTCGACCCGTTTCGCCCAGTGCTGGAAGAGGGGGATCCGGCAGAGCATGGAACTTTGGATGTACGGGTGCCATGGTGTGCGGACCAGCTTCACCGCTAGGTCCTCCGCGATGATGCGGCGCAGCATCTGAAGTGTGCGCAAGAAGTGCACCGCGGCTTTGTCGGCGTCGGACCCCTTGGCAGCGAATCGCCTGCAAATCGTCATGTGTATTAGGTGTTCAGGTACGGTCGGCAACACGACACGAAGACAAGACTACGTCGGCGTCGTTTAACATACCTCCTTCAGCATGTCGTCGACGCCGGGGAATATGTGCTCGGCGAGGAGCTTCAGGAGCTTCTCGGAGGGCGGCACCCTGCTCCGACCCAAGAAGTAGTCCTGCTTGTAACCAGAGTACCCGGCCTTCTTCATCACCACCCCCACCGGAATGGCGGTGATGTACGCTCGCGTCATCTTGTCGAGCGCCCAGTGACCCAGCTCCGCGATCTCGGCGCGCGGCGTGCCGTCGATGGCCAGCTCCTGGGCCCCTCCTGCTCGAGCGGCGTGCACATTCCTTTTGCAGAACACCCCGTTCTTGTCCCACAGCTGCCGAGTCCAGCGTTGGTGGCTTGCCGCAGAGAGCTCCCCTTGGTCGGGGTCGTTGCGGGCGAAGAACAGGTGCTTCTTGTACCAGCTAGCGCGTGTGCTGGTGTCGACCGGCGGAATGAGGTCGACGCCGTGAAACTGGCCGATCTGGTCGAGGATGAAGTGCAACCACAGGCCCGTCTCGCCGACGGCGCATAACTCCGCTTCGAGGTGTCGCGCCGCTTAGCTCTGCTGCAGACGAGCATCCTTGGACGTCTTCGAGTTCCGCGCAGCGATGACCATGACGACTGACGAGGTGCTCGCCAGTCGGTACAAGAAGATGTCGGGGAGCGTGATCTCGCGGATGCTTGCACCGCGCAGGAGAGAGTGGTGGGAGAGTAGCGTGAGCACCTTCAAGAGCAAAAACCTCCACAGCGTCTGGGAAGGACCCGTTCCCCGCGGGTACCACGCCTTGGCCGCCGACGTCGGCAGCACCCTCATCATGATCTGGTGAAACTGTTCGGCGGTGTAGGTATCGCCGAGGGTTCCTCGACGCCGATCGGCGCAATTCCTGCCCACAAAGCCAAGTGTAATGGTTATTCAGGGCGGCGTTGACTTCAGAGTGTGGACGACATAGATTGAACCTCAACTTACTTGATGTCCCGCTCGTTCTTGGTGCGGATCATGAACCGCACCTCCGACCTGACCACCGATATCTCCCGCATGATGCTCAGCTCCGTCTCCCGGTAGAGCGTCGCCTCCACTCTCGCCGCCGTCTGGCATGCCTTTATGCGACCGAGGAGCGTGTGCACCGTTGTAGATTGCACAGGCTGGGTTCGCGCGGCGTTGTTCCCCTCCTCGATGGAGTCGGCATCGAGCTTACACTCACGCACCATGAACTTCACGTATGCGCGAAGCCGGGTCTTGGTGACCCTAGGGCCATGCAGCCATACGTATGCCTGGGGGACATCGGCCTCCTGGTCCCAATTCTTCTTCTTGTTGTCCCGGATGTAGTGGCCTATCTCGTCGACGTGCTTAAGCCTGTGCTCCTCGGGAAGTTTGTTGCGAATTTGCCTCAACATCTTCGCCGCCCACCTCTTGTAATGGTATATCCACAAGGTGTACTGCCTCAGCGTGCTGTTCTTCTCCAAGGTTTGCAGGTGGCGTAGGGCGTCCATGACGAGCACGTCGATGCACGCGTACACCATGTCTTCCTCGACGAAGTCTGCCGCCTTCCACTGTTCGCGCGGCACCGACATGTTCTCCTGGTCTTCATCCTTGTCCTGTTCGATCAGTGTATCTATGTATTCAAGTTCCCGCCTAAGTCGTTCTTCCAATGTGCGCGGATTAGTGCTACGCGGTGGACGGTCGTCGTTTTCGTCATCGCTTTCCTCCTCCTCCTCCTCCTCCTCATCCTCCTCCTCCTCCTTGTCAACAACCAGGTTTCCAAAGCCGGCCGGTGCCGACGAAGTTCCTGGCTGTCCATTTTGTGTCGGAGTCGGTTTTTTTTTCTTGTTGAACTCCCCGATCGGCGGTGGGGGAATGTCCTTGGTGAACTCCCCTTCCGGAATCTCCGTCAGCGCGTCAAGATCGTAGAGTAACGGGAGCGTCTCTTCATCGGTAGATGTAGGATTGTGGTCGGTAGAGGGACTAGCGTCGGATATGTCGACGTCGGCCATTTGGCAGCACGTGTGTTGCTCTACCTTCGTCCGTGTGCGATGCGGAGGTTGGTAAACCAGAGACGGTACTGAGTCACGGGTGCAGTGTACGCCCGAAGAGTTGCGTGGCGGTCTTCTTCGAATTCTCGCTCAAGTTCGTCTAACTCGGCTTCGACCTCGAGACGTTCCAGCTGCGCCTTGATGTCGGCGTCTACCGAGTCGGCGGGGGGTGGGATGGGTTGCGGCTGTTGGGCTCTAGGGCGACCTCTGGCCATGCGTCGCCGACTTGCTAGGTCAGCCGGGACGTTGATAGTTTGCACCGATGTTGCCCTACAACACCTGACGTCGACTTCGACGAGTACTGACCACCGCCGACGTTTTTGGTGGGTGCCAGGTAGAAGCAACTAGTGCCGACTTGATCGAGTAGTCGGCAACCGAGTATCATACAGGCACGATGACAGACAGGCAGATGAAAATTCTAAGTGCACGAGAGAGCAGGAAGAAACGCAAGAACGGACAAGGGAATGGGCACCGGTGCACGGTCACGGAGGGGTATGGTCCTGAGCGACTCCGATGTTGCCGCGGTTCACGCAAACCCCTATGCTTCTGCCGCCATGCATGTGAACTCGTGTGGCGGCGCACTGTCCGACGTGCCACGTGCCAAGCATGGCTAATGGGACGCCGCGCTGCACCCAAGAGGCGCAGACCTGGGCCATTCCACTGTGGAATGGGCGAGTGTTACGTGGCTTGGGACCGACATTGGCGCCTCAGTGCGGAAATTAGGGCATGCCGACTTCCATCTCCCAGGGGCCCTGGATTATTGAGGCCCAGCGTGGCGCCTCGTGATCGGCGCCGACTTCCACTTGGCGCGCTTGGTTGTGTGGTTAGGTTCATTGAACTTGGACAGTGTTGGGAATGTGCCGCGTGGCTTGGTTGGGGGCCGTTGGATGACTTGGTCGACATCGACATCGCTTGCAAGGTGCGATGCCACAGGACAGTTACATTTTGGACGGTCCGATTTGCGCCGCGTGGATCGCGCACCGACACTTTTGGAGGGATTGTCGACTTCCCGCGCATGTGAACCTCCGCTGGAGCGACGCGTGGCCACGACGCCCACATCGTGGCAGCCCTGAACACGTTGGGTTCGGTCTGGCTCCTCCCTATTGGGCCGCGTGGCAGTCGCGGCCCGACGTGGCGATTTTGTCCGCTGAGATTTACTTCTCAAGTTTCTCCCAGCGAAACCCGAGGTCGTCAGAATGTCGACAATCCCGAGGGCTCCCGAGGCCCCTGGGACGCCAGTTCGGCCCAGTTTGCCGCTCGGAGGTCGTCAGGAGCTCGTCAATCCCGAGGGGGGCCCTTGTCCCATTTAAATGGCAAAGTTGGGCGGCAGTTTTCGTCCGCTGAGGTACAGTATATCATCCCGGGCCTCTCGGCCCCTGGTTGATCACCTCTATGGCACTGTGCGGCCCCAATTGGATATTTTCATGACTTGTTGTCATGTCATCTTTTCTGGATCTGGACGTGGACAAGTTCTCTCTACAGTTGTTTGTTCGTTCCGTGTTCACAGTACTGTAGTTGGTCGAATTGTCGGACGGACGAAAACATGTGATCCGCAGCAGCGCTGTGGATTGACGGGCATACTATGTCCGTCATGCCCTGAAATTCTGGCCAAATATTGGAGTGTCCCCCAATTTAAGTTTCTGTTTCTGGTGCCACCCCTGCTGAGTCAGGGCTGTGCTGGGCCTACGCGATCATATTTGGCCTTCGAGTTTTTTTGTTTGCCAGCTCTCCCCCCCCCCCACTTCTAACTCACTCCACCCTCAATTCTCCCTCTTCCCCTACCCCCCCCGTTACATCGATCAACACGGAAAGCCTCGGACTACGCGGACCGGAGTGAGGAGTATGGTAATGTTTGTGAGCTGTGGTATGCGCGCCTGACTAGTGAGATGTGGTAGGTGATGTACACACAGCCCTGATTTCAATTTCGGAAAATCGGCCGAGTTCGGGATGTTCAGGGCTCGTTGGGGCCGCTGCACTTGAAAAAACGGGCCATTTTTGAGGCAACTAATCGACAGCCCAATCGACAGCCCTGATCCGCACTAAGAATCGCCTCCCTCACCCCTCTGACTCCTCGCCCCTCTGCCGGCTCTCAAGGACAAACCGCTTGTTCATTTCTCGCCACAGCTGTATTCCCCCGTAATGAAGCCTAGCCTCCCAAACGTCACCACGTGGCAAAATTTCAACGTGCGGCAAATCACAACCAACCAAGGGGTTGGTTGGTAGGGCCAGGGCAGTCCACACAGAACTGGGCTGCATAGGCGCAGCGGAAGAGTCGCCTGGAACAACCTGCGGTTGCTCTCGCAGGCCATGGAAGCAGAGCATCAAGTGAAGAGCCACTTTCTGGGGCTTCTTCATTCAACACGCCCCTATTACACCACTGATATCCAAGGGATATCCAGTGGTCGCAGTGGTTTCAACGTCGTAAATTCCGCAGACGCTACACTTTTCCCACGTCACTACATTCGCGACGCGAGATTATGTGTAGGGTAAGGCGCACGTGCGAGATGGGGGACAGAAGCCGACTAATGGCGGTCGTGTCTGTTGTTATCCTGATCCCACTCGTTCAAGCGTTCATGCCACGCCACGCCACCCACGCATCCACGCCGCAGCCCACGCAATTCGAGATCTCCATGCGAAAGACGTTGGAGCTTCCCGAGGAGCAGAGGCGCCAGCACGCGGACCGCATTCTCGAAGCCGCTCGCGACGCGGAACGCGAATTCGAAGGCGGCGATGCTGGCGGCCGGCGCGGCGAGCGCGTTCTGGTGGACACGGGAGTGAAGTTCGGTCTGTCGGCGCCGCCGCTCAGCTCGGGGCGTGATGGCGACGGTCAACATGTCGTTCTACCGCTGGGAGAGCGTCGCGCCGCCGCCCGTCGTCGACTGGCGCAAGACCGTCGCCATCACGCCCATCCAGACGCAATATGTGGTGCGAAATGCATTCGCGGCTCCACCCTCGACTGCTTTCTTGCTTGATGTCTCCTAGCTGGCGCGGATAGTTGGCTGATGTGCATTCATTTCGGCTCACATTATGAGCAAGCTGGTGTGTTTGCTGCCCAGATTTTACAGTAGTAATCGCGCTTTATATATTTGTCTACTCTTACTCAGTTCCAGACCCGCCGCTTGCTCTCCTCAAATTCTCTGCAGTGCTCAAGCTGCTGGGCGATCTCAGCCGTCGATTCCATCGCCATAATGTGGGCGATCGCCAACAACGGCGTCGGGACGAATCTGTCGCCGCAGCAGGTGTGCGACTGCGCGACGAAGCAGTGCTGCCAGGGCGGGTGGCCCGAGTGGGCCTTCTCCTACGTGCTCTTCAACGGCGGCGTCACGTCCAACGCCAACTACCCCTACCTCGCCTACGATTCCGCCACGTGTCTGCTCGACACAACCATGACGACCGCGGCGCAGATCACGGGGTGGGAGCTGGTGCCGGCATTCAACGCCATGGCGCTCATGAAGGCCGTCAGCATGCAGCCCGTCGTCGCCTTCATCAGCGCCTCCGCCGCCGACTTCACCGTACGCCTCCCTGCGCCCTCGTCCCGCTCCCCCTCCCACTCCCCGCGCTTCGCCGCTCACACTGTTTCCCGAGTCCCCGCTCAGACCGTTGACAGATTCCCATCGTTTCCCTATCCCCTGCTCACATCGCTCGTAATTTCCCGCGTTTCCTCTCTCGCACCTGTTTCCCGACTCCCTCGTTCTCCGCTCCCACCGTTTCCCTATTCCTCTCGTTTCCCCGCTCACACCGCCTCCGATTTCCCGCATTTCAGCGCTCGCACTGTTTCCCGACTCCCCCGTTTTCCCACTCGCACCATTTACAGTTTCCTCGCGTTTCCCCACTTGATCCATTTACCGTTTCCCCACTTGATCCATTTACCGTTTCCCCACTTGATCCATTTTGCCGTTTCCCCACCCGCACCGCTTCGCGACTCCCGGCGTTTCCCGTGCCTGTCGGTCCCTGACTTTGCGTGCAGGCGTACTCAAGCCGCAACGTGCTGAACATTTACAACGGGCTATGCACGACGGACGTGAACCACGCGGTGGTGGTGGTGGGCTTTAACTACACGGGGCCGGACCTCAAAGGCAGCTACTGGATCATCAAGAACTCGTGGTACACCACGTGGGGCGACAAAGGCTACATGTACCTCGCCATGACGCCCGACGTGCGCGGGAAATGCGGCATCTTATCGTACGTTTCCCAACTCGCTTTCCGTCTCCCTCCGTCATCATCTTCCGTTGCGCCTATGAAGCGTCGCGTTCCGTGCGCGGGAAATGCGGCATCTTATCGTACGTTCATATACCCACTCTCGACATGCATTCCACAGGACTCGTTCGCTGCTCGCATGTGCTTTGGGGGAGCGATACTGTCGCCACTTTCTCGTGCGCGTCTCGCGCCGCCGATATCCTGTCTTGTGCCTCCGTTGCGCATCCGGTTGTGTGTGTTGTGTGTGTTGTCTGTGTGCCCCCTCACCTAACCGTCAATCTTTTACGCCTCCACTAATCCACCAATTCTGCTCCTCTCACCAATCGTCGCAATTCGCGTGCTGAAATTGCGTGCTGTGCTTAGTGACATGCAGAATTCTCTCCGATTTCGTGTGCGCGACTCCACCTCCCATCCCTGCGGCCAGTTTCGCTTTGTCCCATCTCTAACGCCTGCCTCCGCCGCACTCACGAGGTCCCTGTCGCGTGTCCTCCCACTCTCGTCTATCTCTTCCACACTAAATAGACACCCCTTATCCCCTTCCCCGACTGCCAGTGTGGCGAAGGATTTTTTGTCTAACTTCTAAGCGCATTCTTCTCTCCTCTCTCCTTTTCTTCCGCGCAGAACCCCCGCCATGTACCCCGTCTACTTCCCATCCGGGCAGCAGCCAGCGCGCTTTGCGTCCGACAAGGGCGGCAAGTGGCGAATCAACAAGGTGGACGACCTCTCGTCGTCGCTCTTCTCCACCCTTTCAACCACCACCACCACTACCACCACCACCACTGTTATTGCGACCTCGCCGAATGCTACATGCGCGGGGATGATCAACCCGTGCGGCGGGGGCAGTTGTTACATGAGCGGCGGCGTTCCGCGGTGCAACTGCAGCGCGCTGGCGAATATGGTTGAGATGCTGGGAGTGCCCACGTCCAAGTGCGTGCCGCGAAGTCCCTGCACGACGGCTCCTGTGAATCCCTGCGGCGGCGGAACATGCAGCGATGTGGGCGACGGGACGTACACGTGCGCGTGCTCTGCGGGTTTCGCCATCGGCGCAGCTGTCGACGGTTCGCCTACGTGCATTCCCGCTGCTGGACTCGCGAAATCCTATGTTACCAACCCTGGCGACAACTGCACGTTTGTCGCGACAGCTTTCGGAATTTCGATGACCACGCTGACAAACCTGAACACCTTCATCAACTGCTCCGATACTGAATACCTCCCTCCCGGAATTGCACTTACAATATCGGCAACACTAAACTCCTCATCCTCGTATTGCACCAACACATACACCGTCCGACCTCCTGACTCTTGCACTTCCATAGCAAACACTTTTTTCAACGGATCTCTCACTTCCCTTTTGGCAAGCAACCCTGGCTTGTCGTGCAAGCGCTTGTTCAAGTCAGAGCAAATATGCCTCCAAATGGTTTCCGCATCCGCCACATCATCGGCTGTACAGTGTGGGCAAAGCGTAGACGTGGTTATAGGAGACACGTGCGCATCGGTTGCCCTTAAATATGCAGTTGACTACGCAACTGTTGTATCGTGAGTATTCCAAACTCATCCTGAAATCCCATCTGTTGTACGAGCTGGTTGGAATTCTAAAATCCATCCTCGCCGCTTCCCCTTTCTTCCCTTACAACAATGTTTCCCTGTCCCCCTCGATTTCTCCGGGTTCTCGCGTATCCACGGCCACTCAAGCCATCCCGACCCTTTCCCTGCAATTCCTCTCCGTTGCTGCAGGCTTAACCCAGCAGTCAACTGCAACAGCACTCTAGCAGTGGGCTCCTCTCTCTGTGTGGCGTCAAAATCAGCTCTGGTAAGAGCCAAGAAGATGCATTCCCTTCCTCTCTCATTGGCCACCTCCTCCCGTGTTATTCCCGACCTCTTGTCTCCATTTTCCCTTGACAGGGCTTGCAACTTGCTCTCCCTTCCCCTTCTCGCACCCCCATCCCCCCTGCTCCCTGCAACTATCAAATGAACTGGGCTCTTATCTCTGCCCCCCCCCCCCCTCTGCCCCCCCCCCCCCCCCCTTATCTTCCCTGCCTCCACCCTGCACCATCCTTATTCCCCCTGGTGCCTGTGGGCAGACGAGCCTTGACTGCACGGGGTGGTACCGGGTGATGCAGGGCGACACATGCCCCTCCATCTGGAATGCAGCCAACCTCACCATGTCCATGTTCCTCACCATCAACCCGGGCATTCAGGTAACTACGTTGAGCCATCGCATGCCGTCCCATAACATTTTTATTTGTGTGGGTACTGCCTGGGACTTTGCACTGGTTCTGTACCTCAACCCACCACTCTGTACCTCTTCCATCCCTCAGCACCTCTCTCTTCCTTGCGATTCCCTCTCTTCCATTTGCACCGCCAGCCTCCTTACCTCTTTCTCCCTTGCCATTTCCCCCCCATGCAGTGCCAGGCGCCCTATCTGGTGGTGGGCCAGCAGGTCTGCATCGACTCACCCATCCTCACCACCATGCAGCGAAACCCAAACGCCAACTACTCCATCTACACCATCCGTGCCAGCGACACCCTCTCCACCATCTCCACCCAGTACCTTCGTCGCTGCACGTTAACCTCCGTTTCCCCCGCTGCCATTGCCGCCCAAAACTTCATCCTCAATGCCTCTGCACCGCTCCCCGTCGGCCTGAACCTCATCATCCCCTGTATTGGCGGCATCGGTATAATCGACGCCGGCTGTGCGACGTCTCTCACAGTGTGCGGAGCAGATTTCATCTCGTACCCGTCGTACTGCCATGCAGCCGTGAACTACGGCCTTTCACTTTACCAGAACAACCCGTGTGACAACTGTGCGGCTGCATGTGTTGGTCGCATGGGGCTGGCCCCAGCCTTCGGGTTTGGCTGCACACAAGCCATCTGTCCATACCCAACCTGGATGTCAGGATCAGACTGCACTCTAGGAGATGGTAACAATGTTACCGCACCGTGCTGCAACTACCGGAAAACGCTTTGCCTCAAGTCATGCAACGCGACTGCTGAAACTTTGGGTGGAAGCACCACGACCAAAACGACTAACTACAACAATTGCTGGAACAATTGCTACTGCTGCGCTGCTGCGCCGTGCGGGGGCCCCGCGTGCAGCACCATGAGCAGCGCGTGCTATCAGACCTCACCGCGCACTTGCTCGTACGCCATTGGAGTTGGTTACACGTTCATCTGCAGCTACTATCCTGCTGGATCTCCCTTGCCTTAACAGCTCCCTCAAGGGGCTGCCTGTATGGGCTCACTGTGAGGGCTCCCTGTGAGGGCTCCCTGTGAGGACTCCCTGTGAGGGCGGCTGCTGCCTCTGCTTTGATTGCTGCTTGCCTGTGTGCATGGGGTGATAGTGTGCATGGGGTGCATTGGGTGCATTTGCATAACTCTAAGTGATATGCATGCATTGGGACCAAAGGTTCTGTTCTGCTTCTTGTGCTGGTTCAATCTGACATTCTTTTGTTCCTTTTCGTCATTCTTGAGTTCTTACATGGATGATTTGTTTTATTGTTTCCAATATGGTGTCCCACTCATAATTCACCACAGGCGCCGACATGGGTTCATTTCATCTGACGTTAAACTAAAAGGCACACCATTTTCTCCAACCAAGAATGGAAAGTACGGTACCGTATATTCCAAACTGAGACTAAACCATAACGACACAAACACCATCCACAACACGATGTGCATCATCAGCCCATGAGCAGCCCATTCAGCTCTCACCACCTTTCCTTGGTCTTCTGAATCGCCTACATTCTGCATCCTGGATCCACCTCACCCTTCTCATCACATCACTCTTCTCTCTCTCACTCTTCTCTCTTCTCACTCTTCTCACTCTTCTTACTCCACACACCCACAAATCCCCAGCTGCTGCACCAACCCTCATCTCACGCTTCTCACGCAAGTGTTACCCCGTAACCAGCACAGAACTGCGCCAGAGCCTTCCTGTTCTCATCACTCACCCCCTGCTGTATCACCGCTCCAAACCGTCCTGGACTCCTCGCCGTCAGAGCCCCCAACCCCACAGTCAAATACTGCCTCGCGTCGTTCGTCTTATCCTTCACCGGATCCTCTTCAGTCTTCCCCGCGTGGTGCAGCTGGGCATACGAGGCCGCATACCCCGATGCTATCTCCTCGGCATCGGGCACGTCAGGTTCCTCCGCCTGTGCCGCCTCCCGCTGCTCCCTGGGCTGCACTAGGAGGGTCAGAACGGCGTCGAGCAGGCGAGCCCACGTGGGCAGGGCAGAGTCAGCCTGAAAGTGGGCAGGAGGGGGGGGAGAGGGGGGATAATCGGGAAGAGTGCGATGAGGTGGTGGGGGAAGCGCTGCCTGTTTTGCGTCGTGCTGCTCCCTGGGCAGCAGCAGCAGGGTTTGAACGGCGTCGAGGAGATGAGCCCGTGTGGGCAGGGCAGAGTCAGCCTGAAAGAGGGCCGGGGGGAGGGGGGGACGGGGAGGGAAGGGGGGATGGGCGAGAGAATTGAGCTTTGGGTGCTTGCACCGCTGCAAATGCCTCACACCACACGGCACAGCAGCACAGCACAGGTATGGCAGCACAGGTATGGCAGCACAGGTATGGCAGCACAGGTATGGCAGCACAGGTATGGCAGCACAGGTATGGCAGCACAGGTATGGCAGCACAGGTATGGCAGCACAGGTATGGCAGCACAGGTATGGTAGCACAGGTATGGCAGCACAGGTATGGCAGCACAGGTATGGCAGCACAGGTATGGCAGCACAGGTATGGCAGCACAGGTATGGCAGCACAGGTATGGCAGCACAGGTATGGCAGCACAGGTATGGCAGCACAGGTATGGCAGCACAGGTATGGTAGCACAGGTATGGCAGCACAGGTATGGCAGCACAGGTATGGCAGCACAGGTATGGCAGCACAGGTATGGCAGCACAGGTATGGCAGCACAGGTATGGCAGCACAGGTATGGCAGCACAGGTATGGCAGCACAGGCAGCACCACGGGTGGGTGTTCAGCGCAGCAGCGCAGTAGGATGCAACCCACCACGCACCTGCACCACCCACCACGCACCTGCACCACCCACCACGCACCTGCACCACCCACCACGCACCTGCACCACCCACCACGCACCTGCACCACCCACCACGCACCTGCACCACCCACCACGCACCTGCACCACCCACCACGCACCTGCACCACCCACCACGCACCTGCACCACCCACCACGCACCTGCACCACCCACCACGCACCTGCACCACCCACCACGCACCTGCACCACCCACCACGCACCTGCACCACCCACCACGCACCTGCACCACCCACCACGCACCTGCACCACCCACCACGCACCTGCACCACCCACCACGCACCTGCACCACCCACCACGCACCTGCACCACCCACCACGCACCTGCACCACCCACCACGCACCTGCACCACCCACCACGCACCTGCACCACCCACCACGCACCTGCACCACCCACCACGCACCTGCACCACCCACCACGCACCTGCACCACCCACCACGCACCTGCACCACCCACCACGCACCTGCACCACCCACCACGCACCTGCACCACCCACCACGCACCTGCACCACCCACCACGCACCTGCACCACCCACCACGCACCTGCACCACCCACCACGCACCTGCAGCTCGGTGCATTCACAGAGCACGTCAGTAGCCGCCACGGCACAGAGCTTGGTCTCAACGGCATCACAGATGGAGGGCAGCCCGAGACGGGGTAGGGGGCATGTGATGGAGGGAGGGGCGATTTGGGGGGGCTGGGACACTCAACCCACCTGGAGGTCCGTGCATTCACAGAGCACGTCCGTGGCGGCCACGGCACAGAGCTTGGTCTCCACGGCATCACAGATGGAGGGCAGCCCGGGCGCCCACACGCCCGCTGTGATCTGCAGGAAGAGGCCCGGCTGCACGGCATTGACCGACGCCACCACGGGCGCCACCCCATGCTTGACGAGGAAGAGCGAGAGGAAGATGAGCAGCCCTCGCACAAACTTGGGCGTGCGGGAGTTCTGGAGGGAAGAGGGGGATGGGGTGGGGGGAAAGGAACGAGGGGGTGCGGGTGGAAGGGGGGAGAGAGAAAGGCTTGGCATGAAGAGAGTGGGGGGAGGCGATACGCTTGTCATGCAGTGCTTCACCAGGAAGAGCGCGCGGAAGATGAGCAGCCTGCGCACGAACTTGGGCGTGCGGGAGTTTTGGAGGGGGATTGGGGGAGGGAAGGGGAGGGCAAGGAGAGAAAGGTTTGGGATGAAGCCTTTAAGGCGTTGGGAAGCGGGTTGAGTGAAGAGGATGGGAGGGTTTGAAAGGCGTGAAGAGCAGGGCACGTGGTGGGTTAAGGAGCACGTGAGGGGGGAGGGGGGAGGGGGGAGGGGGGAGGGGGGAGGGGGAACGTGAAGTGGGGAGGGGGCATGTAAGGGGGAACGAGGAACGTTGGGAAGGAGGGGGGACGTGAAGTGGGGAGAGGAATGTGAGGAGGGGAGGGAGAGCGTGAGGAGGGGGGAGGGAGCCCGAGGGGGAACCCTGTAGAGAAGCAGGTTCCACATGGTGGGGGCAAGGGCGCCGTTGTACAAATGCCCAACCACTCAGTACCGTTCACACCCACCCACCAGCACCCCTCTGCACCCATTCATCCACCCACCCATCCACCCATCCGCCCACCCTCCCAACTCAACGATACACACCCACCTGCAGCCTATAGAAGAGCAGGTTCCAGATGGTGGGCACAAAAGGCGCCAGGGTGGCATAGTCTAGATGCTCCACAACAGTGTTGAGAATGAAGAAGCCCTGATGGTCCGAGTGCTTGGACGCGATGAGCTTCTGAAACACCCCCAGCACTGGCGGCACCTGCCCTCCCCCCACTATCTCCTTGGAGGCCTTTTGAAGATACGCCTGGGGGAGGGGGAGGGGGAGGGGGAGGGGGAGGGGGAGGGGGAGGGGAAGTCACAGAGAATGAGTTTAGTGCATGGTGAGAATGTGAGCGGGCGAGGCGAGTGGACGAGGGGAGGTGGGGAGAAGAGGGAGTGAGCGGAGGGTGTGCGGGGGGAGGGTGTGCGGGGGGAGGGAGTGAGGAAGGGAGTGAGGGAAGGGAGTGAGGGGGAGGAATTGAAGGCCAAGCAAGGAATGACGGAATGGGAAAATATCTTCTCAGAGGTTGCAGCGGAGAGGAACCAGCGGAGGAATGAGGGGAGGGACGAGACGAGGGACGAGGGGAGGGACGAGGGGAGGGTGGCAGGGTGGGAGCATCAGAAAGTGGCAGGGGGGTCAAAAGGGTTACCTGCAGCAAGCGGACAAGGGCAGGCGCATTGCCGTCTCACTCCAACAGTGTGGGGGAGATAAGCGCAGGGAAGAGCGCCATGTCGGTTGCTGGGAGGGGTAGCACTAGAGATCGGCAGCGGGGGGATGCACTTACCTGCAGCAAGCGGACAAGGGCGGGCACGTTCCCTGCTCGCTCCCACAGTGTGGGTGAGATGAGCGCGGGGAAGAGCGCCATGTACGCCGGTGGCAGGGGTAGCAGAGGCGGGGCTGATCGGCTCTCGATGAGCAGCGCGAGGAGCTGGGGGGGGGAAACGGGTGGTGCGGGGAGCAGATGGAGGGTGGGGAGGTAAGGTGGTGATGAGGGCGGGGAAGCGCGCCAATGATGCTGCTGGTAGCAGCAGCAGAGCAGGGGCCAACAGCAGAGCAGGGGCCAACAGCAGAGCAGGGGCCAACAGCAGAGCAGGGGCCAACAGCAGAGACTCTGACTGGCCCCCAATGAGCAAGGCGCTCGTGGCAGGACGAGCGGTGCGGAAGAGTCAAAGAAAATGGGCGAGGGGCACCGTCAAGGGGGGAGAGAAGCGAGGGGAGAGAGCTCGAGGAGAGCGGAATGGGAAATGGGAAAATGGCAGAGGCAACGGGCACTGGCTCTCTCTTTGTGCAGGAGAAACCTCCGCCCCACCATGCAATGCCCACCAGTGACCCTCCTTGCCCCACTGACCCCGCTGAACTCATTCTCTACACCCACCTGATGCCCGGCCCTACCTGGAAATCCACCTGACGTGATGACCACACCCAACAGCCGCCTGACAATCCCGCCTGATACTCTTCACCTGAAAATCCACCTGAACGTCAAAGCTTCCCCACCTGAAAGGCGTACGGTGCAAACTCCTGCACGTCGGCGTCGAGGATGAGCTGCAGCAGAGGAAACACCTGCGCCTCGCACACAGGCACCTGGCCAGGTGCGTCCTCC